CATAGCTAATTCTTTTTTAATCAGATTTCGACGCGCAACCCCTTGAATTTTTCAAAACAATATGTATTTTTATTTAAAATTATTTTCAGAAGATAATATTGCTATTTCTGGAAAATTTCTATCAATGTCTATTTATAGGATTATTTAGTCATTATTTAAATGATTATTATAATAAAAATTATTTTTAAATTAAAAACTATTTTTAATCTTTTTTGAAATCTCGATTGGATGGCCAATGGATCTCCCTTATACTTATATAGATATGAATTGACTTATTTTTAATTACATTATTTTTTCAAAATTTATATATGTGTATTTATATGTATTTTAAAACATTTTAAAATTACTTATATACTAAATCCTAATTTTGGGAGATTCGCTACTTCATGAAATTTTAGACATGGATTCTATATGAGAAGAGCAATCATGGGGGAGTGGATTAGTAGATGGTTGAGTCCCAATCATTCACTAATCCCTTCATTAGTCGTACTTATTTCCTTCTTTGTCGTAGATTGCAAGCATAGGTTGCACCATGAACACTTAGTTTAGGCGCTCCTAAATCTAAGGACATGGTGTGTTTACTACTTTTGTGTGTTTCCCATGCATTATTACCTTAAGGGTTAGTGAAAACTTTATTTTAAACATTTATAACGTAGTAGCACCTTAAGGACAAAAATTAAGGACCCATCTAACAAATTTAAAAAAAAATTTAGGGGCTAGGATAGATCACTGATGGACATGAAAACTTCCACATTTGAAATTAGAGACATATTGAACATCCTAGAATTTTATAGGAATTTTCAGGGTTTGTTAGACCCCTTAATTAACAAACCATAATTAACCTGTTTAATAGGGGCCCCAGACCTTCTAAAAATTACAATAAATCCATTTTAGGTGAAAAAATTACCTACCATACCTCAAATGTTTCATAATCTGATCCTCAACCTTAGATAAATTGGGTTCCTCAGTTTGACTATAGGTTGACCCTTAATTTAACCTTAGGTGAAAATTACCGTTTTGCCCCTAATAAATTATTAAAAATCCCAAATTTTCCCCAAACACTTGGTATCAGTTTCTCAGGTCATTCCTGACTTTTGGGAGTGATTCCAATCTTTTCGAAGCTGGTTTGGATCAAAACCATAAAATCAGTCCTTTATTGAATAATTTTGATAATTCCATAAATACCATGAACTTAGAAAATTCACAACTAATTGTAGAAAATTCTAAATTAGGAAAACTCACTTGCATTAGACTCCTATTAGGGTCTAACATTTATTAAAAATATTAGGATTCCAGAAACTAACCTAAATTAGAAAATCAACTTTTTGGTCAACTGGCCCGAAACTTAGTAAATTCATAACTTTGCCTAGAAAACTCCAATTGCAGTGTACTACCTGGCCAACTACTCATCTTAGGGTATAGTATTTTCTTAAAATATTTGGAGACCCAAACCTAGTCTATTTCTCATAGTGACCTTTTGGACCCCCTTAGCTAGTACCTAGGGGAACCTGAGACTTTCCAAACTTGGTTAATATAACTTGAACTTCAAATATCATCACCCTAAGCATTAAAAATTGATCAACAAATTAAATTACTTAAAATGGACTCTAATCCATTTAAATTTTTTATTTTAATTAAAACTCCATTTTCTATCCTTCCACAAACTACAAATTTAGATAATTTTCACTAACTACCCATCTTAGGGCATATTAACAACCCAGCTTGGGACATATCCAAGCCACACTAGTCATGCACACTCATAGAATTTTTTATTAGGGCACCACTTCTAGACTTAGGCTACGCCGGTGTTTATTTCCTTTCCTGTTGTGTGCCGGAGCTTTTTGTGATTTTCATTGCATGTTGTTCGAAACAAGCCACATCAGCCATGCACACACATAGAATTGTTTGCTAGGGCACCACTTCTAGACTTAGGCTAGGCCGGTGGTTTATTTTTTTAACGTGTGCCGGAGCTTTTCGTGGTTTTCATTGCATGCTGTTTGAAATTGCTGATGTATTTGCTTACTTTTTCTGCACTCTGTGGACTGATGTGATGAGCGCTAGATCTACCCCTAGGTTAGGAGCTATATATATATATATATATATATATTGTTGTTCCGTGTAGGTGGCCATGCTCAAGCTAATAAAAGGGGGGTACTGTTATGATTTATAATATTGTCTTATGTAGGTGCTTGCTCAGCCCCCCTAAATAAATGAGGACTAAATAAAAATAATTATAATTATTACAGGTGCTACAGGTGGACTCCTTAGCCATCATAATTAAGAGCATGGCTTGACACAGCTTCAATGGGTTGATCTTATTTTATATAACAACTTGGGATGATTATTATTAGAATACATTGTAGGGACTTTAGAATTTACTGCTTTTCATTTGATGTAAATTTGTATGTAATAATTGTTAAGAGTTGTGAAAATAATTGAGAGTTGGGATATTTTTATTCGACTCGGATTTCAAAAGAAGATGACATCCCTAAAGGGGAGAGTCTTCTTCCATTTGGAAGATAGAGTTGGATGGCTTTAAATATCCAAAGAGAAAAGGCAATGCTCCCTACAGGGGAAAATTATCTCTTCGTTTGGATATTCAAGCCATGACGAATCCAAGGAGTCCAAGGAGGAGAGATCCAAGGAGTCTAAGGAGGAGAGATCTAAAGAATCCGAAGAGAAGACATCCAGAAGACTGAAGATTGAAGACCCAATATCCCACTCAAAGTTGTTGGCGTCTATCATAGGCTTAGAAATCCGGGTTGTTGGCAGTGGTGCCCAGACACTTTATTTTCTGCATACCCTGGGTTGTAATAAGGGCAGTTTGCCTATGGACATTTAGTTGATTATTCTGGATTTATATTGATGTATTTTCCTGATGTGCGTAGTAGAAATTGTCTATTTTTATTAGGTTTCTTTCTTGCATGTTGCTTTTGTTTTCGCCTAGACTTCGTTAGGCTCTCTAAGGACTATAAAATATTTTCTACTCATAATTAATTTCTAAAAATTTAAGTAACATATAAATTTAACGAATTTAGGGAACTGTCGGAATCGTCCATGGTCGCATGCATATTATTACATTTCTTCTTCTCCTTCTTATAAGACATCTCCCTGCCTGCGGGTAGAGTTCGGATAATCTAGCCTATGATGATGAAGTGCTGGATTAGGGAGACTCAGTCTTTTCTAAAAATTTATTTTCTATAAGCCTATTTTTAAAATCTTATGCATACATGATTTGGAAGTCTCAACTAGCATGCATTGCATTAGAAATTAATTTAATTAAAATTTAATTGCATTAGTTAGGGGCATTCACCCTACATAAGTCCAGAACCAACTAGGAAACTCTCTAGATGTCGGTCCTTTTTCCAATAACTATACCACCCACCCATCTTTCATAATTGACTTGATACCATGGTTTTAAAGCGATAAGGTGGTTAGCTAGCTCCCAAATCTAGGCCGGGGCAAGTCCAGGTTTTGCACTGCATTAGCTAGGACACGGATCTTAGTATATGTGTAGAACACCAAGCCCAACCTAGATCTAGGATTCGAGGCTACTACATATGATCTCGTAGTATACCTTAAATAGTAGGTAGGTCCCTTCCTTTCAAGGGCTATAAATCCTACTTATCTGCGTCACTAGATGACGCCATCTCCATCATTCTCTCACACATGTGATTGATTGCATAACTTTCTTTCATCTAGTTTCTCTGTAGTACCCTAGAGCCTCCGAATGCTGGTATGAACCATGCATGTTGATTTAGCCCTTTGGACCTTTCTTCCATTTGAGTATGACTTCTTTTTCTACATCCTTGTGCCAATCCCATTTTAGGAAGGGATAATGTATGATCCTTAATAGAGAGTTTTCTCGGGCTCCGGCCTGGGATATAATTAACCACGGGGGCTTGCGCCCGTGGGAAACTCGGTCCCATATCTACTATACCCCACTCGAGCTGTCGTATCAGGCGGGGAAAACCCGTGATTAGGTCGTGTATATTACTACCCATCAGGGTGTGTTAGCGACAGCCTCTATCCTCAATGGTTAGTCGTATACACGATCCAATCTGCCCTTCCATCGACCTGTTCGTGTCGAGTGTGGAGGCCTACGATCATTTTGTCCTACGGGATAGTGCGGCCGTACCCTCTGCATTCGTATCCCACGAGCGGTGCTCTTTCAGAGGTCCACAGAAATAATTAATTATGTTAAATACAAGAAAATCTATATAATAATCAAAATCATTGAAGACTAAAATGAGACTTTAGTTACTTACAATAAATAAATAAAATCTCTGAACAAAATTAACAGATAAAAAAGCACCAAACAACGTTCTTTCTCTTCCATGTCTCTCTTCTTTGACAAGGCACAATGCTGAATCCATATGTTTCATAAAAAAGAATTATTTAAAAAAAATCGGATTATTACATATCTTTTATTAAACATGTCAGTTTGACTCTAAATTATTTAAGTTGAATTTAGGTCGAACTATTTATTAGCACAACTAATATTTAGATAATATTATAAATAATAATATTGAAATAAGTATTTATAAATTGAATGCTACACATTAAATTGATTATTCCATTTTTTGATGTGGCTTACAACTTTCTACAAAATATCACGTGCCTCGCTCCTGCGAAAGGCCAATCATTTAAGCCTAACCATAACGGTTACTCTCGTGGGCCAACCTATGCAGGATGGCACGTGCCACATGGCTTTACTCTCTAGAACAATTAGATTTATTCAGATAAGCCCACTTGTTTAATAATATTGTATAAGCCTTTATCATTATCGCACAATTTATTAAAATGTATGTTGAGAAGAAAAGCTTGTCAGGGTTATGATCATAATAGAAAGTTAAAGAGGGGCAAAATGGACTATAATGAAAAAGCCGGCAGCGACACGGCTTCAGTACAGAAATTTTATCTTTAATTTTTCCTATATTATTTCCCCCCAAAAAAGAATATCCTATATTTTAATATAAATAAAAGCAACCAGTCTTTCTTATTTTCTTCTCTCTCGCTTTCTCTCTCTTTCGCTCTTTTTCTACCAGCTCACCTCTCTGTTATTCATTGGCGCAAGAGAGGAGAGAGAGAGGAGCTAGGGCGGCGACAGGTAGAGCGAAAATCAATTCGGCAATCAGATCTCTATACTCCCCAGCTGCATTTTCTGATCCGATCTTATCTTGGAGGCCTTTCTTATCGGAGTGGTTTCCGTTTCAAGGTTTTGATTGTTTAGGCGATAGTAGTCTTGCGGAATCCAGAAGTTTTGTGAGAGGTAACTTGGATTGGTGCGTTGTTTTGTGTTTTGTTTCTGGATTGGAAGATTTTGGCTGTGAATTGGATTGAGGGATTAGTTTATGTTTTTTGTTTGATTGGTAATTAAGATCGTGACTTCTTTAACTTTTCCTTGAAAAATTTTTGTTATTAATTTCGTCACGGGGGACCTTTTATGTTATCACTGTTCCCTAACTTGAAGAAGTTTGAGCCATTGAAACTTTAAATTTACGTTATTGAATTGCTTTAAATGTAATTGAAGCATGCTGGATGGATTGCATTTATATTATATGCATTATTGATTTAGTTCAGATTTTTCCAAGTTATGATGTGAGTAGAGTGCTACGAGCTTAGCTATATTGACGGGTGATGCTTTGCCTTTTTTCCTGTTTGTTTCATATCTGGTTAGATGTCAGGATTATCCAAAAAAAAAGAAGAAGGAAAAGCCTTATCTACTTTTCATACAGTGTAGGTCTGGAGATCTTCAAACTTCCTGTGGAAGGATTTTTAATTTGATGCTGGTGACAATGGGACTTGTCTCAAGGAACTTCTATCCTGCATGCGAGAACCTGTGCGTTTTTTGTCCTTCATTGAGGACAAGTTCACGGCAGCCAGTGAAGCGGTACAAGAAGCTATTAGCTGATATTTTCCCTAAATCCAAGGTTAGGATGCAGCGTTTATTATTGTTATTCTGTTCGTAACTTGTAAACTTGATGTTCCTAAAATCTTGGTTCTGTTATGCTTGAGGTGTTAGGGATTGTGAATCGATGTGGGCCAAAGTTGGTTGGTCTCAATACACTAATGATCAAACCCCAAAAGCCTATGCCTATAGGTGAGGGCAAACCATTTGGCATTTCCACACTAATATATTTTCTAACTATCTGAAATGGGACTAAATCCAATACTCCCAAGTGTTTTAGCAAATTTTCTCTTATGTGAGAGTTCTCCACATTGACCGTCACTATCTCAAAATAATTTTTATCTACATCCCCAAGTATTTGGCACTAAGAGCATGTTCAAACCCGTTTGCAAAACCAAAAGTATAAGCTTATGGTGAAAATATACCACAGTATTTCTTCACCAGTATATTTTTCAAGTTCAAATTTGGTACTAAACTTAATACTCTTAGATGTTCTATCAAGATGTTATGCTTGTTTGTCATCTTTCTAGGGTTCTCACACCAGCTAATAACTTTGGATTTATTAATAGTGAATTATACTTTTCCAATGATCTGCTTAATGCTTGTTTTCTATTTTTCAAAATCACTCCCACCGCCATTCCATGCTTCTATTGTGCAATGCTACATATAACTTAAAACTTCAGATTTTTTGGTTGTGAATTTTACTTGACTCAAACCTTAGGTTAATCAGAAATTTGTTCAATTTAAATTTCTTCTTAACTATTTCTTGTTGGACAATATTCATGACAATGCGCATCTTCAATCACATCAGATTTCAGTTGATATCATATGCTTGATGCCTTTCTCTTAGAAATAAAGTGTCGAATAATTAAAAAAAGGAAGAAACAGGAGGATATTCTGTTCCTTGTGTTCAAAAGATCCTTAACAAATGCTCTCCATCTAGATGGGCTCATGCTACTTATTATACTCTGTAAACTATGCTGCATACAAATGTACACTTTCTTAAGTGAATTCATGTGTTTATCTAAATCCTATTTGATCATACAGCATTGTCTCTTTCTGGGGTTAGGCCAGTTTCATTACATAATGTAATTATGAGAAAAGCTCTGTGCTTTGCTTCCTACAGCTTAAATTTGAATATTATGTCTTAGCACAAACATTTTCTTATCATAGCAGAAAAATTGTACATGTGCTTTCTTCTCAGGATGAAGAACCCAATGATAGGAAGATTTGTAAATTGTGTGAATATGCTTCAAAAAATCCTCTGCGCATACCAAAGGTAATTCTGGTAAACTGTTTATTTGACTTCTATGGGCCAATCAATTTTAAACACCTCACTTCTGATAGCTTTTCAGGTTCCTTATCTCTTTATATGACTATTATGCTGGCTATTTGAGAAGAGCATTATTGAATATGACTTACGCTTTTTTATTTTTATGTAACCTAAATATTGAATTAATACAATTTCTTATGTTCAGCAACTATTGTACATAATTTATTATACATAACTGTGCTGAAACAAGTAAAATTTTGAACGTATAAGAAGGTTGGCAAATGATCTTTGATAGATTTTTGTCTCCTTGTAATAAAAAATTCTTAAAAAGTTGAAACAAAATGCATATGTAGTAGAGGAGTGTACACACTGAATTAGTTTGCATTATATTTAGGTTATACCTTACTATCGCCAATACTGATATTCTCAGTAATAGCAATAATAACAATTGAAATGGAGCAATGGTCCTTGGTACTAGGAATAACTTTTGGAAATGATTCATTTCTGCGTTGGTGTGGGGCTTGTTGATGAGGAAAGTTTGCTCGCATTTTCCTTAAAAACAATGTACCACCAGTAGTTGACACAGAATTGGTCGTTATCCTTGCTGCTATTTGTGGAAAATTCTAGAGCTCATTATAACATTTTTTTCTGTGCTTTTTATTGTTATAGATTTTGCTTCTGCTGCTATTGTTTATGTTTTTTTTTAGAAGGTTCTTCTATTTCTTGTCAATAATTAAGAGGCATGCAGAAGCAAAAAAACCCAACTAATTCATTACAATAGAATCCAAGAAACAGATGCTTTGTATCTTACATGCTTCCAAGTTTTGTTTTCATGCATTTTCATCTTAATCAACTGCTTCTTTTTTTCTACAAAAATCAGATAACAACTTATTTGGAGCAAAGATGCTACAAGGAGTTGAGGTCCGAGGAGTTTGTCTTTGTAAAGATAATCATGCGCATTTATCATAAATTATTATTTTCCTGTAAGGAGCAAATGTGAGTTCTTCTGTCTTATTAAATACATCTTGGCCACCTTTCTGACTTTTTCTTAGGTTGCTAGGTACTCAGCATACTTTTATCTGCAGCTATGTCTTTTAGTTGTTCAAAGTAGAGCTCCATATGTGATAACTGTTTTCCAAATGTATTCTGTTTTTGTTTGCAATCACTTAATGTTTTCAATCTCCTGTTTTCACATTTCATTCATTCTGAAAACATCGTTTAATAACAATTTATTGGAAAACAGAAAATTTAAATGAAATGTAGAAATGACATGCAAAATGGACAAAGGCTCAATCTATAGTAGTAATCTTCTAGGATCATGCAAATTTGTTTAAGAATGGTGAAAATCTAGATAAACGGCATGCAAATGAATTGCGGTAAATGAGTTGACCCCTCATGTAGCACTCAAAAGAGTGAAGAAGGCATGATTCATAAAGTCAATACCAAACAGTTGAGATATGTTTAATGCTAATGATCAAGAAGTTCTAAATGAAGTGCAAGAAATTTCTTTTTCTTACTAAAGCATCTTAAACTTTAAAAGCATCTTAAAGTTTCTTCATGATTAATCAAGAGATCAACAACAACAACAAGCTTTTATCCCACTACACGGGGTTAGCTACATGAATTCTTTTTTCTCCATTGTGTCCTGTTAAGAGTCAAATTCTCATTTAAATCTAATAAAGAAAGATCATTTCTAATGTTTTCTAACCAGGTATAAAAAATAATGAGGAAGAGGACTTTCAAGTGAGATGCATCTCATCAATGTTTTCATTTTTGTACAAGACTTGTTAGAAATGTGTTAAAAAGGTCTTTTTTGGTGCATGAAACTCTGAAAATGCAGGATTAGAGAGGGATTGTGTTAGATTGGCCTAGGAGGGGCCGGTTTGGCTAGTCCAGAAGGGACTGACCCATGTTATACTAGGCATAAGGGGTGGGGTCCACGGTTTAATGAAGAGAGAGAGAGAGAGAGAGAGAGAGAGAGAGAGAGAGAGAGAGAGAGGGCAGATGAGCGGGAGATTTGAATTTAAAGGGCTGTTTGGACCTTCTACATTGTATTATTTGCTTTTAATAGTTATTGTCATGTTAGGGTTAGGGTTATGTGTGCTTTTGCTAAAATTAGGAGTTCTCTAGGTTTGTGTTAGACCGGCCCACTACGCTTTCCTCTCAGATTTTTCTTGTGTTTTGGCTGTTTTTCTGCTGTGGACAGCAGTTTTCTCCTTGGATCTACTTGATCTTGGTGAGAAACACTTGGAAATCCAAGTGTTTCCTATCAGTTTGCTTGGGCTCTAGCTGCGTGCTAGAGATTGAGAGAGCCGGGTCTTCCTCTCGAATCGAAGATCCATTGTATCTTGCTTGTTTTCGTTCACCTTTCATTTATTATTAAGTTTTCCTATTGAATTGTCAAATAATTTCTTCAAATTTCTATTTGTTCTTGTTGAAATTCCAAATTTCAGCCACTACTTTTGTAATTTCTGCACTTGTTTCCATCAAAACTAATACACCGATTGAGGGGAGAGGGAGAGGTGGAATGGAGAAGGACATAGTTGAGTGGAGCTATGAGGTCAAAACCAATGAAGGGATGCATGAAGGGAATCACACAACCACTATGTCGGGGGAACCAATGGGGGAAGAAACCATTGGGGTATGATTGTGTGAGCAAGGAAGCTAAAGATGCCGGTCTTTGAAGGGGAGAATTCTCAGGTTGAGTGTATCAGGTGGAACATTACTTTGCCATCAATGGGCTGACTGAAGGGGAAAAACTCATGGCGGTGGGTCTATGTTTGGAAGGGAAAGCCCTAGTCTAATTCCAATGGAGGAGGCGAGGTATCATATCTACTTATGGAGAGAATTTAAGGAGTGCTTGTTGAAACATTTCTGAGCAATTCAGAAAGGAGACCTCCACGAGCAGTTCTATGCCCTAACATAGGAGGGGACAATTATGGAGTACCGGAAGAAATTTGAGCTGCTGTCAGGGAGACTAGGGGTAATCTCTAACGAAGGATTAGAGGGGAATTTCAATAAAGGGGCTTAGGGAGGATATAAAAGCAAAACTCAGGGTACTGAGGCCTATGGGGTTGATAGAGATGATGGAGCTGACTCAAAGGGTGGAGGAAAAATATAAGAGGGAGAAGACCATTAGAAGCAACACCATGGGAGGAGCTCCTAGAACCCAGACATTATCCTTCCAGAGAGAGGTTCCTAGGGAGAAGAGCGTTGGAGTTCGCCCAGGGGTAACTTCAAACTACTCACAGAAGCGGAGGTGCATGATAAGCAGACAAATGGATTATATTTTAGATGTGAAGAGAAGTACACACCGGGGCACAAATGTAAGGACCAAACTCTTCAGGTTCTCACTGTCTCTGATGACGAGAAAGCTTAAGAGGGAGGTGGGAGTGAGGCACGACGGAGGATAAAAAGCTGTATTTAGACATGGTTGAGATCTCCTTGAACTAAGTGGTGTGGTTCCCTCTGAATCACACTATGAAGGTGAGGGGAGAAATAGCAGACAAGGAGGTAGTGGTGCTGATAGATAGTGGGGCTACTCATAATTTCATCTCCAACCAGGTCTTAGACCAATTGGGTCTGAAACTAGTGGACACAGGGTACTATGTGGTGATGATGGGGATGATGAAGATGGAGATAGGTAGAGGGATGTGTAGGGGAGTGACCTTGACCATACAGGGGATCCAGGTGAGGGAGGATTTTCTCTCATTGGAGTTGGGGAGCACTGATGTCATCCTGGGGATGTGATGACTACAGACCTTGAGGGATACCAAGGTGAATTGTGGGATGCTGACAATGGAGCTGATAGTGGAAGGGAGGAGGACAGTGATTAAAGGAGATGTAGGACTCTCCAAAGCCATGGTGTCTCTAAAAACCATGGTAAGAGCCATATAGGAGGTGGGAGAAGGATTTCTGGTGGAGCTATAGAGTTTGGAGGGGATTAGAGGGAAGGAAGGGGGGGACATCCCTCTTACAGTGCAGCCAGTTATACAGTAGTTTCATGAGGTTTTTCAGCCACATCAGAGATTACCACCATAGAGGGGACATGAGCATGCCATCATGATGTTGGAGGGGAAATCACCGATCAGTGTTAGGCCTTACCGCTACTCCTAAATCCAAAAGGATGAGATTGATAAGTTGATCCGGGAGATGTTGGAGGCAGGGATCATCAAGCCGAACGTGAGCCCTTTTTCTAGTGTCCGATCGAGGCAATATTCCCCAGTCACTTTTGGAGGGAGTTGTTCAGGTTGCAGGGGACTGTGCTGAAGAGGAATACCTCTTACCACCCTCAGACAGATTGGCTGACAGAGGTGGTCAATAGGAGCTTGGAGACATACCTATGATGCTTCGCTTCAGAGACACCTCGGCTGTGGGCTAAGTGGCTGATGTGGGCAGAGTACTAGTACAACACTTCGTACCATTTGGTGTCCCAAATAACTCCTTCGAAGTGTTGTATGGCAGGGATCCACCTCACTTGGTGCACTTTGGGCAAAGTAGCACACCATTCTTTTCAGTGGAGCAGTATTTGGAAGAGTGTGATAGGTTACTAGAGGAATTGAAAAGGCACCTAGTGAGGGCTCAGTATATCATGAAAAGTTAGGCTGATGAGCACATGAAGGACATTCACTTTGAGGTAGGGTATAGAGTATATTTGAAGCTTCATCCCTAACTTAACTTTTATTAAGACCCACCGGTTCTTGGCATAAATGTGTTCATTATAAGATTAAAGTTGGTAGACAATAGTTTCAATTATGGGTCAAGTTTGGCTAACAATTCATTTTGTCTAATAGATGTAATGTTTTACGTACTAGTTTGTGGCTTTTCAACTCAGTGATTACATGCTAACCAGTAATGCTTAACTGAAATGCTTTATTTATTGTCACTACTTCACTAAATTGTGTATGGTAACCATATGTCAAATTAAATTTGGTGAATCCAAATTTTTTTTCAGAGATATTACGAAGAAGATTCACTCTACTAGAACCTATATTTTTGTGAACGCTTAAACTAATAAAGAATATGTTTTTTTTTTTTTGAAGAAATAATACTTGTGATTTGGTTCGTTCTTGATGAAATATTAGTATGATAAATTTGAAGTGATTGAAAATGTAACCAGATGTTTGAGAGCAAAAAAAAAAAAACAATGGAAAAGAAACAAATGATGCTTCTTTTCCCTTTTCAATTCGACTTTCTTCTCCTTTGACAGTCGAAATATGTGTTAATGATGCTGGGCTTGTTGATGAATTGTCAGGTGCTAATTATTAGTTAAATAGACAGGGGAAGAGAAATAAATAATTATCTAGGCATGCAAAGGAGAGTGATTCAGAATTTCAGATAGTGATGAGTTATTTTAGCCAGGGTGAAAGATTGTTACTTCTATAAGTGATAGATGTACTTGATGCATGAGCCAAAAGGTCCTGCCCTTGTTGACCAACCTTAAAGCTATTTAACAGGAATGACCAAGACTAGAGGTGATGAGGACATCGTCAGAGATTTCGACACATGTACCATCAGCAGACGCCGGAGATCGACGGCCACGATCATGAGTTGTATTTTGAGTCATTTTATTTAGTAGTTTATTTTTTTTTTCAGTTTTTCCACTTTTGCCCTTATGGGTATTTGGTCGCTATTGTAGCCCAAGGGGCATTTTAGTCTTTTATTTTCTTTGTCATTTGGAGGCCTATATATGGCCCTTTTCTTATGTAATAGTTAGTTTTTGATGAAATGAAATTGACTACTTGTTCTCTTTGTGAGTTCCTCCCTCCAAGATCTCTTAGTGAGTTCGCCAGAGAAGACTAGATCTCTTTGTGAGTTCTAGTTTTCGTGCTAGCTAATCTTGTGAAAATTCAACGAGAAGACATTTGAGTTTAGTAAATTCGTAGTCGTCAAATCCCCAGAAAGTTCCATCTCTTTTTCCCCCTTGCCCTTGCCGCCGCCTGCTCCAAGCCGCCGGCCACCTTCCCCCCCGGCCCCCTTTATTGGCCTTCTCTCTCTTCCAAATGACATAATTACACCAATAAATCAGCCCAATTTCCTCCCATTGCCGCCCCCCATCAATCCCCCCTTTGGAATTATTTTGAATTCATCAAATTAATTCCCCTCCCCCTCTTCCAAAACTGAAATTATTTCAGATTTCAGTTTTTGTTTTCTTGGGAGCCTTTCTCTAAGCAAGCATCTCAAGGGCTCAAGAAGAGAGTTCTCCACATCCCTGGACGGTTGATCCCGACATCGACCACGGCTTCGTCTTTGATGATCAAGGAAGAACGTATAAGACGTTGGATGCTCACTAGTCATCCCATGGACTATCCGCCACCGGCTACCACTCCAACGGACTACACTTTGTGAGCCATTTGTCTCCTAGTGACATCGCTCGGTTGCTCTCAATCTACCTCCATTAAAAGTGCCACCAACAAGAGAGTGAGTGAGAGACCCAAGGTGAAAAGTTCTATTTGTTAATTGTGGATTATTGTTTCTCTCCATAACATTACTATCTAATTCTATGTTGTCAATTTTATATTGTCCCATTAATCTAGTTGTAACCACATGCCTTACTTAATTTCGACTTGATAATTCCGAGAACTTAATTTGGGTAAGCATTAATTCTATAACTAGCAAAGCTTTAACAATCTTATATTGATATCCCCAAGCAGTTCTTGTTTCTATGCATTACATTTCACATCAAGAGGATTTTTAAGCATGAATAGGAAATTATTATGTGTACCTGAACAAATTGCAATTCAGGTCCCAGTAGCATCGAATATGGCCTCCAGACCAATTATATTTCTTGCTATTACTTTTGTATTCTTAGCAGCATGGATTTTTTTGGTAGATTATTTGGTATGATGTATATTTGATTATGCATCGAGATGACAATTGGTTACATCTTCTAGCACGGAGCATTTACACAGTCAAATTCTACGTGATGCAGTATAGCCGAAATAAAAAAAATTATTGTTTTTGCACTTTAGGTGAAATTGGGACGTGTAACTGTTAGCCAAATTATGTGATTCTGTTGGACTGCCTATTTTAGTGATTATATGTAGGGTTACTTGGATATATAAAAAAAATTCATTCAATTGCTTAATGAAATTCATCTTTCCTTTCAAACTTGTGTGGGTTGATTGGATGCAAATTCTGAGTAAGATGCAAGTGTTGATGACAATTTTTGGAGGAATTTTTCCCCTTGTACTGGTGTAAGGCTTAGATCTTCTATTTATCTATGTAGTTTACGATTGGTTAATTTATTTGTGTGATTCTACTACAATTTGGGTTTACATTTTGTGATGTAAATCTTGATCTTCTTAGGATTTTTTTTTTTCATCTCAATTTTTATATAGAATTTACTTGGTCAATCTTTAAATTGTCATTAGATTGAATTTTTTATGTTTTTATTTAATCAAAAGTGATAAATTTTTTGACAAATTTAAAGTTGGACTAAGAATTGATTTTACTTGTTTGTTTTTGCGCATACATTTGGAGAATCCTATATCCTAAGACGTTCTGCAACAGTAGGAATATTGCAGCATAATATCAAAGTCCAAAAGTATTGCAATATACAAATAGAAATTGTGGAGATTTAGAAAGAAGTTATGTTTATATGTTCTATAAGTTGCATGACTTAATAAAATAGTAAAAGGATGAAAAATGATGTATCATTTCACAACATTTTGTTTTGGAAGCCAAGTATTCTCTTAGAAAGAAAATGTTTCATCGCTTAATGCTTTTTTATAATGCTTTCTTTGACATTACCTCTAATCTTTTTAGTTTTCATTATTTGCCAAAATGAAGTTAAAGTTTGAACATTGAAGGATACCTAGTAAATATTATCTGATTGAGTTGAATTAATTTCGTTACTGCTATAATTAAAATGCTACGCCCAAACTTTATTCCTGATTTTTTTCATATATACTTTCTCAAAATGATGTAAACTTTCTCGTGCCGTTTTTTTAATATTCATCGGAAAGTGCCACCAAATATTTTAGCCATTTAGAAGGATTGTTAATTACTCCCACCTAGGATAGTTGGTATAAAGCAAATCAGTCAGATAAATAATGTTTTATCTCAAATTAATTAAATATATTGAAACGATACTGCAGGTCACTATTTGCGAGCAGCTTTCTAACAATCATTGAAACTCTGTTGGACCAGCCAAGGCAGGATGAAATGCGCATAGTTGGATGCAAAACCCTTTTTTACTTTGTAAACAGTCAGGTATGTCTTATTTTCTCAAGTATCAATCTACTATATATCAAGCCACAGTGAGAGAGAAAATCTCTCATTTCAAGCTGTCCATATTGAAATAGAGCTTTCACAGTTTTTAAATTTTTTTCTTTAATTGGAGGTGAAAATTATATTTATTTGGAAAATTTACTAATTTATTTATGTAAAAGTTATTATGAAAAAAGGGCAAGTCACATCTATCAAATATATCATCAACATTATCAAAGCTACCTAATTTCTATATCAAGTAATCTTTCAATTATTGTATTATCTCCTTGTCTTCTTAACTAATATCATTAGTAATTAATTTGATAATAACTTTCTTTTTTTTTCATTAGTACAAGATTTTAACCAAATGATTTTTAATATTTGAATATTTAATTGATAAAGAAAGATAATGTCTATTATCTCTAAAGCTTAACTTTTTGTAGAACTCAGTTTTAAAGTAGGGCTCTCTAAAAATTTTGTGTATTTATTTTATTATTTTCGTGGCTGGATAAGGTATTTTTCTCTTAAAAGCTAAATTCATGAGGATAATTACATGATGGCATGCTCTAGGCCGGTCTCTTGCTTGCATATGCTATTTAAGATATCTTATAATCTATATATTGTGTTGTCTTTATCAAAGCATCTCTCCTTAATTAATATGAAGATGCCAATTGAATAAAATTTTATCTCCTAATTTTAGAAGGATTAAGTTATTCTTAAAACTAATTTTAAATATTCTTGACATTAAAATAAAATGTGACTTCAATTATTGATTTAATTTAAAATATTATACGTTCAAACTGATTATTGAATATTTAATAACGGCTTAATAAACCATTTATTATTTCTATTTAATACTAATTTTAATTTGACATATTGTCAAAATAATAACTTATTATAAACTTTATCCATTTAAAATAGTCCTATGCTATCAGTAAAGTAAATATATACTTTTAAAATTACAATGTAATACCTAATCTCTAGAATTATTATAATTATAGTAACTTTTATTCTCCCAAGTATTGTATGGGGTTATTTTCTTGTACTGTAATCTCTTTAGTGTCATAAGATAAATTTCTTACAAAAAAGAAGCAATATTATGTCTACTATCCATAAATAGTTTATTAAGATATTGTGTCTAAGATCAACTTTAATGTTGTGAATTTCAGATAGATGGTACTTACATGTTCAATTTGGAAGGCATGATTCCAAAATTTTGTCAGCTTGCTCAAGAGATTGACGAGGATCTTCGTGCTGCTGGGCTGCAGGCCCTTTCTGCAATGGTAATATTTTTTGGTTATGGTCTTTTTGGAGTAGTGTGGAGAATTCAAGTCACTATAATGAACCCAGATTAAAGATCTCGGATTGCATTGTGGTTAAACCTTTCCAAAGGATCATCAATATGAACACTAGCTTGATCGAAGTTAAAACCAGTTACATGGGTGTGTCAGAAACTTCCTTTTATTTACATTGACATTGTATATATATATATATAAAATCTTCATTTCATATATATACTTTGATTCAGTCTCTTAAAACATAAATCAAGGCGGTTGACCTAATTTTATATCATTGAAAATGGTTAGGATCTAAAAATTTGTTAGATTTCATAAATTTTTAGGATATATAGGACATTGTATGAATGAATGTTCCATATTCTAGGATAAAATATTTATTGGTTCTATTCATTATAAGAAGTTCAAATAAAATGTACTTCTTTTGTTGAGACCCATCCTTCTATGTATGGTCAATGGCTTACTTTTAAAAAAACCTTATAAATAAGTATTTTGCAATTCTTTCTTATACTATGTGCTTGGACACTCATGAAACCATCGAAATGAACAAACTGCATTGACGCTCCAAGGAGGAAGACGATGAACAATAGAACTAGTGATTTCATTGAATCTATTAAAGCATATTACATTGGTATAAATAAGTAAACCTATTGCTTAGTGTAATTACAGCATTGCCCTTGACGGTTATAAAAGTGGTCAGGTGGCAGATAGAAGTGGATAAGGGCTCAGTTGATTCAGTTGGAAGCCGGCGGGCTCTGCTCCACTTTGGCCTAATAATTTGGGTTCGGTAAGAGCTGCAGGAGCCTTGTCACCGTCCTGCAAGCTGATGGTCGGGAGGACCAGAAGCTTGTTGCGTAAAGTGAGAAGACAAGCGGAAGACAAAGACTTGGTAAGGATATCCGCCGGCTGATCGGCGGTAGAGATATGCCGAACTGTAATTTGGTGAGATTGAATACAGTCACGTATAAAGTGATGATCAACCTCTATATGTTTAGTCCGAGCGTGAAAAATTGGATTGCAGGCTATGGACATGGCAGAGACATTGTCGCAAAAGAGCTCAGTGGGGGAAAGTTTGATATGAAAATCTTCACAGAGCCGCCTGGTCCAGATGAGGTCTGCGGCGGAAGCCGCCATGGATCGGTATTCTGCTTCCGTTGATGACCGAGCAACGGTTGTTTGCTTTTTAACAGACCAAGAGAGAAGTGCAGTACATAAGAAGATGCAATACCCAGTAGTCGATTTGCGATCCAGTTGATCACCTGCCCAGTCAGAGTCGGAATAGGCAGAGAGACGTAAGTCTGTTTTGGGAAGAAAGAGTCCATGGTATAAGGTACCTTTTAAATAACGCAAGATGCGTTTAAGAAGTTGAAAGTGAATCAAGAGCGGGTTGTGCATATGTTGGCACAACTTGTTGACAACAAACGCTATATCCGGCCGGGTCGATGTTAGATACTGCAGGGAACCAGCGAGCTTACGAAATAGTTCCGGTTGAGCAAATGGTAACTGAAGATTTGGATCAACAGGATACTTTGAGGGGAGAGGCGTAAGCAGAGGTTTACAATTAGTCATCGAGGCCGTATGCAAAAGATCCTGAATGTAGGATTGCTGATGTAGATGATAACTGGTCGCAGAGCGCTGGAATTCAGTGCTGAGAAACTTGGAAAGATGACCAAGATTTCTAGTTTGAAAATTTTGTTGAAGATTGGAGATTAAGGTGGCAATCGAAGGCGCATCACTGCCGGTGATGAGGATATCATCAACATACACCAAAATGTATATGTGAATATGATCCTTATGGTAATGGAAGAAGGAAGGGTCGGCCGAGCTGATGAGAAAATTCTAGTTTTTGAGATATATAGACAAGGTGGCAAACCATAGCCGAGGGGCTTGTTTAAGTCCGTAAATGGCTTTATGAAGCAAACAGACGTAATGGGGGAAGGTTTTATCTTCGAAACCTTGTGGTTGTGACATGTAGACTGGTTGATCAAGTTTGCCATGAAGAAAGACATTCATCACATCCAGCTGATGAACTGCCCAGCGTGATGAAGAGTAACAATGAGAAACATCCGGATTGTGGTAAATTTAACAACCGGACTGAAGGTCTCAAGGTAGTCGACGCCATATTGCTGTTTGAAGCCCTGTGCGACTAAGTGCGCCTTGTACCGAGCAACGGATCCATATACTAAAAATTTTAACTTATAGATCCATTTACAGCCTATAACTTGATGATCGGTTGGAGGAGGCACTAGGGAGCATGTGCCCTGAGTCTGAAGAGCATGAAATTCAGCAGACATGGCGTGGCGCCAATTGGGGTCCTTGTTGGCAGTGGTAAAACAAGATGGGGATGAGTGTAAGGTATGAGAGAGGTCGAGTAGGATTCGTGGTTTGAGATGTCCGGTTTGAGATCGAGTAATCATGCGATGGTGAACTGGTGGAACAACTGGAATGGTAGATGAGGTAGAGGAGGTTGTTGGTGGAGTTGAGATAGTGGCTTGAGGTGTGGAGACAGTGGGAGGAGGGGAGGAAGTTGAGGAGCTAGATGGAGTTAGTGGTGAAATATTTGAATTTTGAATTGGAGGGAAAAAGGAAAGATCAGTAGGGGTGGGAGGCGGTGGTGTGGTGACAGGATTGAGAGAGAGGGAAAAATGGATTCATCGAATTGCACGTGGCGGGATGAGATTGTTCTGTGAGTGAGAGGATCAAAGCATTTGAATCCTTTTTGATTTAAAGTGTAACCAAGGAAAATACAGGAAATAGAGCGAGGGGCTAGCTTGTGAGGTGAGAGTGGTTTTGTCCAAGGAAAACACCTGCAGCCAAATGGATGAAGAATGGAGTAATCGGGTGGAGTTCGATAAAGAAGATGATATGGAGATTTTGAAGAGGTATTTGATGATGGTAATCTGTTAATTAGAAAAGCAGCGGTGAGAATGGCATTAGACCAGAAAGTGGAGGGTAATTGAGCATCAAGGAGGAGAGCGCGAGCGGTTTCTAGGAGATGACGATTCTTTCGTTCAGAGACTCCATTTTGCTGTGGAGTGTAGGGACAAGTGAGTTGATGCGTAATACTGCGGTGGGCTGTGAATTCCTGTAACGTTTTGTTTTGAAATTCGCCGCCGTCGCTACGCAGCGTGAGAATAGTTGAGTTTAATTGTTTTTCAATTGCTGTTATGAAACATATTAAACAGAGAGCAACATCTGATTTTTGTTTAAGTAAGAAGAGCCATATATATTTGGTGTGGTCATCTATTAAGAGAAGAAAATAGCGAAAGCCATCGTAAGAGAAAACAGGGGAAGGACCCAAACATCCATATGTATTAACTCTAAGGGAAATCGAGATACATGGTAAGAGGGAGAGAAAGGGAGCCTGTGACTCTTTGCGAGTGCACAAGAATTACATAAAGAACGTAAGGAGATAATGTGAAGCGAAGGAAAGCTTTAGCTAGTGCAGCCATAGTTTTGACATTCGGATGTCCGAGCCGGCGATGCTAAGAAAGAGCTGAACATGACGGAGCGACTGTAGTAGATGCAACAACAATGGATGGTTTGTAGGGGACGGGATATAGACCATTAAGGCAGCGCCCGCGGAGTAGAGACTGATTGGTCCTTGTATCCTTGACACGAAAAGCAGATTTGTCAAAAGGGATTGAGCAATTGTTATCATGTGTGAGTTTGGAGATTGAGATTAAGCGATGTGTTAAGCGTGGTACATGGAAGAGAGGAGTAAGAGTAAGCTTACGAGTAGGTGTGGGAAGGAGACCATTGCCGACATGCTGTATGGGTAGGGGATTACCATTTCCAACAAAGACTTGATCTCGGCTGTTGTAAGGAGTTGGCTGCTGAAGAGGAAGAGGATCCGGAGTGAGATGGGCAGACGCTCCGCTATCTAAGTACCACGGAGAAGAGTCAGATTCAGCGACCAGAGCAACGCTGGAGTTTAAAGGTGGAGTGTAACTAAAGTTGCCTCGATGCCAGCAGTTGGTAGCTGAGTGTCCACGTTTGCCACAGATTTGGCAATCACCATCAAAACGTGGAGTACGGGATGAAGTTCTAGGTACATTGGTAGAGGAGAAGCGACCGCGACCACGGTTGGATGAGGAGCGTCCGCGCGATCTCCCACGGTTGGAGAACAGAGCAACTTGTCCCTCGGAATGAGAGGTATTGGAAAATGAAAGTTCACGAAGGGCATCTGTGGTTTGATGAACCTCTTCACTACGAAGAAGAGAATACAAATCATCCAATGAGATGGGGTGCAGGGAGTTTCGAATGGTGGTTTTGAATGACTGATAGGAAGGCGGCAGGCCATTGAGGATATGATGGAGAATGTCTTCATTATCCACAGTTCCGCCAGCAGCTCGAATGTTATCCACTGTGCTTTTGATGGACGCTAGATAGTCTGTCATTGTCTTGCTTTGCATAGAGAGAGATTGCAGCTCATTCTTGAGTTGTATAACTCTAGAGCGATTAGTAGAGAAGAAACGTTGCTCTAACGTCTTCCAGATTGAGGCAAATGTCTCCAAGGTGAGAATGTAAGGAAGAATAGGTGGAGAAATTGTGGAGAAGAGAGCAACAGAGAGATTTTATTCTATTAAGGTCCAGGTAGAGTATTGGGGGTTGAGGGTGAGCTGGCCGGTGGCTGTGAGAAGATGTTTAGGTGGAGAGAGGATAGTACTGTCAAGGTAACCGGAAAAATGGTTTGCAGCGAACAATTTGTAGATCGCTGATCTCCATGTAAGATAGTTTTCTGGGAGGAGCTGAACGTTGATAACGTTCTTGATGTTGGCTAAGAGGAACTTAAGAGTAACAGGGATCACGACGTCGGTGGATGTCGCGGGAGGATCAACTGTGAGAGCGGCACCAGAAGGGGTGCTGGGGGCGGAGGCGGTTGAGTCACCCATGGAGAAGAGCAGCCGTTAGGCAAAAAGCTCTGATACCATGATGAAACCATCGAAATGAACAAACTGCATTGACGCTCCAAGGAGGAAGACGAT